CTTATTTTGCTGGCTCTATCTCAGATGGGGTTGCTTAATGAGAGTCTGGAAAAATTCAAGCAACAACAAGAGAAATGCCAGAAAACACTTACTGGAATTGCAGCTAAAGCATCATCATCTAAAGCCAGCTCTTCAAGGCCCGTGCCCTCAGGCACATCGAATGTGCCAAATGCAAAGTCTCCATCACCCCCTGTTAAATTCTCGAATGATACGGAACGGCTTCAACATATAAATAGCATAAGGAAAGCCCCTGTTGGAGCTCAAATCAAACGTGTCATTGATTTGCTATTTGAGGTATCTATAAGAACTGTGTTTTAATTACTCGTAATTTGTTTTGGGATGTGAGTTTGTTTTGTTTTCCATTTGGTTCTTTTTCTTATGTTTCCTTTTCAACCGTGCTCCTTCTATCTCGACCATGAGCAGGATCCTAGGTGTGATATGTGTTACTTATCGTTCTTTGATGTATTGGAGTAAATGCTGTCATTCATTTTTGTTAATGAGCTACATAGCTTCCCGACCTCAATTTAGAAATATAGTAATGGTATATATCGCTGGGAGACTTCTGGGGTCATTTTACTTAATCGTGGATGCTTAGGAGATGGTCATTTTGGTTTGGATGCAAACCAATTAAGATAATTACGTGAAACATTTATTTTTTATTATTATTATTTTTTTTCTATGGGTATCTGCTACTTAACTGCAAATATCTTTTTTCTTTTTACTTATTTTCTTTTTCCGTTTGCCTCTCCACTCCATTTTTCATAGACCGTAGTAATTGGTTTCATCAATCTCTGTGACATGAATTGGAGCTCTTTGTTGCTAGCTCAAACACATGCTTGCATGAAAGGGGAAACACAAACACGCTGAATTCCAATCATAGTGTTTCAACTCAACATAGAGCTGCATGACATGCTTTTCAAATCAGCCACGATGATTGAATTCAACCAAACTTTCTTTACTTAATTTATCTTATTAAAATTTGTGGAATTGTTACTTTACCAATTATGTGGTGGCAGTGGGTAATTGCTGAAAATAGTTCAAAATTTTAAAATTTTTTATCATTTCCAGACAAGGCAAGCATTCACCCCTGAGCAAATAAATGAAGCTTGTTATGTGGATGCGAATGCAAACAAGTCTGTCTTTGACAGTTTGAGGAACAATCCAAAAGTGAGTTATGATGGCAAACGGTTCTCGTACAAGGTAATGTTTCTATCTATGCAAAATCACCAAAATAATTGGCAACCACATAATTATTATATAATGGTAAAATTCACACCTTTGCCTCATCCTGCACATTTCCTACTATCTTTTAATTATTTCTATACTATTTTTGCAGTCCAAACATGCTTTAAAAGATAAGAGCCAACTTCTAGTGTTAGTCCGGAAGTTTCCTGAGGGTATTGCTGTTATTGATCTCAAGGACTCATACCCCACAGTCATGGAGGACTTACAGGTAACTTATCTACAATGAATATCCCTAGAGGGATCTGTGGATGCTGGTTAGCATTGTGAAGACCCAATATACGGTTCACTCGAGTTTATATCTTGGGTTATTCCTAGTGAAAATTGAGCGATATGTCAGCCTTCCTTTGTTTTCTTTCTTTCCTTTTTTTCTTCCCCATTTTCTTGAATTCTTATGGTTGGTAGTGGAGTGGAGGGTAAGGACCAAATAAACAACACATACAAATTTTGAGCCCTGACGGATGCGGTGCCCTATCAAAGAGAAATTAATATGTCACTAGATATATGCAAGTGGAGTGGAAGGAGAGGATAGTAATTAAATAAATCGAAACAAAAACATTCACTGTTCAAAAGGATGGTTATAAGTTCTATTTTGTTTTCTTATACTCAACCTATACAAGGATGGTTAAACAAACAACAGTATTTTTATTGTCTGATGGGTGCATGTTGGACAGTTTTCTTAAAACCATCTTTACAGATTGAACAACAATCAACAATCAACAAGAATTAAAAATATTGTTGATTGTTGATTGTTTATCAATCTTTAAAGATTAAACGGCTTCTTGATTATTGATTGTTGTTCAATCTTTAAAGTTTCAACAAGAACTAATAAAATAAAATGCCAAGAAACCATTGCAATAACCAGAATAAATCTCAAAAGAACCCTGAAAAACTGAGTTTAAAACTTACTAAGCAAACTAATAAATAAGAATCTGAGACCAAAACTTCCTAACTAATAACTAAGAAACTGAGGCAACCACAAAAAACTGAAAAAATGAAATGGAATATTATATATATATACATATTAAAATACATATATATACATACATATATATAGGGCTCCCTTTGATATAATGACACAAGTTATCATTTATTTCTCTTAGGCTTTGAAAGCTTCAGGTCAAATTTGGCTATTATCAAACTTCGATTCTCAAGAGGACATAGCATACCCAAATGATCCAAGAGCGGTTATAAAAGTCGATGATGACTTGAAACAATTATTTAGGGGGATCGAACTCCCTCGCGATATGCTTGACATCGAGAAGGATCTTCAGAAGAATGGGATGAAACCTGCGACAAACACCGCTAAGAGGAGGGCCATGGCACAGGCTCATGGCATTCCCCCGAAGCCTAAGACAAAGAAAAAGAAAAATGAAATCAGCAAGAGGACAAAGCTTACTAATGCTCACCTTCCGGAACTCTTTCAGCACCTCAAACCTAGTTCATCTTGAATTTCCAATCAGTATCTTTGAATATCCTCATGACTAAATCTGTGCTGTTGGTATGAACTCATTCTCATGCTATATCAACCGTTTTATAATTTTATTATTTATTTATTTATTTTAACTAATTATGTGCTGGTTGAAACTGGTATTTGAAATACTTATTCACATTTATTGTGCAAGTGCTTGGTTTATGATAAAGGAATAGGCTGTTGCATTTTCACAACTTCCTAATGAAATGTTGAAACTGACAAGTGTTTCAGCAAGTATTTCATTTTTATATTGCCATTAGCAGGTTCATCTAAGTTCAGCCTTAACACGTTCATTTATTTCATTAATATAATATTGCCTCTAGTTTCTGGACATTTTGGTTGGAGGATCAGGATAAAAGTTAAGGAGTCTATGTAAGGTAGGATCCTTATCTGACGCTTGCTTTATAGCACAATACATAACCTGGACAAATTTTAGTAACTTATGACCTCCGTATTGTAGGATATTATGGTAAAAATGGCTGGCTGCCTTTGATAGTTGTTTGATTCGAAAACCGTGTTTTCTCAAAGTCCATTCCTCAGTGAAAGCTTATTAAGTATTTTAATTTTGTAGGTTAAAGCTGCTGAAGTTATACACGAGCAAATGATTTAATCCAGATTTACTGGATACACTGTTCTTTCATTCCAAGTCTGGCCACTTATACTAACTGAAAATACACGTGCAGACACCTGTGAATGATTTGTACTTGGACAAGTTGTTTCTCTACATCTAGAAGTTGAAGCAGCAAATGTAGTGTCGAGGCCTCGTCTATGTGATCCAAAACAGCGGCTTCTTATGGGTTCAACTTCCCCTTCAGTGGAGGAAATGTTATCCCTTTT